CGGCCACCGCCCAGCCGAACAGAACCGGGTCAGCACAAGCCTTCATGGCCAAAGAAGCGATGCATCTCGAGACGATACTACATTCTTCGGCAGCAGATAACACTTCTTCGCAAGATTCGAGGGCTTTGATCGAACCGTTCCAGCTTGCAAAGATCTCGTCGAGGAAATTCTCGGTTTGAGACACGAGGTTGCCTTCTCCATAGTCCTCACTCATTCGAAGGTACTGAAAGAGTGAAAAAAAAAATCACGGAACCGTGAAAATTGTCCGTCAATTAAGATTACACTTACAAGTTGCTATTCAGAAGAGTTATAATTAGCATTTCTAATCGCAGCATAGATTGTTGTTTTGCATACCTGTGCGTCCAAAGCACTATCCAGTACTTGAGGTAATAGCCGTGCAGGATGTCCTACCCTCACCAGCTTTACTCTAAAAAAACAGAATCAGAGGCAACATAAAAGGTCCCCAGTAAGTGGAACCATGTCAAAAGATAAACAGATGAAACAAAATAACAATTGATTCAAATAAGATTCTGACTCATCAGCTGATTGTCTGAGATTAAAATGCACAGATTTAGTGGCAGAAGTAAAAGAGGGCGTAAATCCATGTGCAGAATAGGATTATTAAAAAAAATGCTATGGATATTTGTAGTTGAGGTCACTGTATTTTTTCAAGGTACAACTACTAAATTCATTCATCCTGAATAGATCCAAGTTTATCAATCTGTTAACTTAAACCAAAATGCTAAAAAAGTACCTGTGGGGAACAAGTCGCTCAACAAGGTTGTCCACTGCAATATTTGAAGCAGCACAAGCAAGAATCTTTGAACCACGTTTGACTTCTTGCAAGATAATTTCCACAACTGTTGTGGTCTTTCCAGTTCCAGGAGGACCATGAAGTAAGAATACATCCTTTGATGACAAGGCCTTTGAAATCGCATCTTTCTTGAACAAAAAGAAAATAGATTTAATCAAGTGTTTAAGACGGGCTGAGAAAGTTAGTTACAAAATGCAAGAGATTAGTGCATACAGGCAAACTTACCTGGGAATGGTCAAGGTTCTTGTTAAACAGACTGAATTTAACATCCTTCTTGGACATGGTCGGAGGTCTTTCACCAAATAAGATAGGGACCAAATCAGAAGCGGGTCCCTTTTGCACACCTTTGCTTAGCTGTATCAAGGTATCCTTCATTCTACGATATGTCACCTACATCAAATGTTGGTAAATGATAATCAAGAGACTTTTGGCAGAATGTAATCTAAAAATACGGCATGATTCTAAATCCCATGTGAGAAGATGATAATTGAAAATGTAAAATAATCTTAAAATGTATTAAAAAAAGGAAAGAAATGCATTCTGTAGATGACATACCCCAGATGCAGTTATGAGAACCATATAAACTATATGAAGGAAAGCAAGGATACCTCATTTGCAACTTTTTCCAAACGTAGGGGGCTAGACAGTCCCTCTTCTGGGATGTCATCAAAAGCAACGGTTATTGACGAGTCCTATTTGATAAAAACATTAGATCTTGGGTTTCCACTTTCCAGACATACATTGGACTCACTAACAAATGTATACACATTTCAATGATAATTACCTTTAACCGATAAACTACTCCTTGTGCCAGAGCAGGGGAGCCAAGATCGGCTTTGTTAAGTTTTAAAACGACCACATCATGGTTGCTAAACTGCATTAGACGAATGTAAAAGATTAACAGAAGATACACGCATTTATGGGCGGGAACATCAACTTTAATTCTGATCTGAGAACTGTTAAAGTGAATTTAAGATGTTGGAGTTTCACAGGGTGTTAGCATGTGTGAGAAAGAAACTTCAGTATGAAGACAGAAGTTCTCAAATGAATCCAAGTCCAATTGTCAGTTAGAACCTTCAAGCTTTCTTGAGGATAACAAATTTCAGCGTGAAGACTTTTACATCTGAAACGGAGTCTAATTTTCAATTAGAACCTTCGCGATTACTTCTTAATTCTACAGACAATTAAAAGTGAGAATATGAAGAAACTCATTCATGCAATAATTGTCAACGACACCGACTAATGTCTTAAAACAATCTTCTCCTTATAAAACAACTATCATGGGAAATGCGCGCAAACCAATTGAACTTCAGCAACAAGGGCATAAACAGGTAAGCATACTCTTCTTGTCTACTTGAGTAACTCAAGATGAAACTATAACTAGAAGGGACCAGCTCGGCAAGGTAACTTGTTTTCCTCTCCATCCAGTTTTTTGTACAGTTTTTACCTTGTGAGCAGGAAGAACATCTCCTTTGTTGGACTGAAACTCCAAGAGAGTTTTCCCCATCAGCCCGGTCTGTTACAGTGAGCAAAAGCATGAAAACCAGATTATCAGTTCTTACAAACCCGCGGCATTGTTCATACTTGTATCACGAAGGCAACGCAGCAAAATAACCAGTCATACCCAACTCTATCCGTTTCAATGTGTAATCAAATTTCCTACAATTCCTCCGAGTGTGACATACCAACTCAATGCATCTCACGATCAATTCTGGGGCTAGAAATCAGTAGCCAACAGTTCCAGAAATAACCAGAACTTGCAGACAATTTGATAGAGACCCACTAAGAAAACGAACTCAAAAGACAGATAGGAATCGGATAAATCGAACATGAAATTGAACCTGAGCATCAACACATTTCAAATTAAGCATCGTAGTGCCCTTCTTCTGAGCAGTACCCAGATTCCTTGAGGCCCCCGTGCTTAACGACGCCGATATCTCAGCCTCCTGAAATGTACACAAACAAAAGACTCAACATCAAGTGCTAAAACACAAGGAATCAACAGACACAACTCACAAGCTTGTTTCGTTTCAAGTGATTATACTCTTTACTCGAGAATGATACCTACGAACGAGAAATTAATTTATGGCTACATATTCCACCATTGAAGCCGCTGCCATAGCTTAGTACAGTACGAAGTGTAGAATCAGAGCAAAAGAAGTTGATAGAGAGAACCTTCTCCATGTCAATAAGCGGAGCCATGGTGGAGACAAATTGGTCGAGAGACATAGACGATGCCTTGTTCTTCTTCGACATTTTCACGCCCCGATCGTCTGTGTACGAGAGAGAGAGAGAGATTGAGATTACGGCTTTTGTTCGACATTAAACCGATTACGGTTTGCTACGATCTTACTAAACCGGAATATCCAAACCGAATCAGAAACCTAACCCAAGTAAACAAAAACGTTACCACTGATAATGTTTAAACTAGTTCACGGAATATTTAAGAAACAATTTTCAATATTTTATATTGTTTTAGGTTCTGCTTTATCTAATAATAATATCATGATATGATATATAATTTTCAAAATTTTGAATCTGTTTTAATTTTAATAGATAATTAGGGGAGTATTTTGTTATCCATCGAACCCTAACTTGCATGTATATATATAATTAATGTTTCAATGTTTGTCCATGTAATTCAAATTTCAAAATTATTATAGGAGCATGAGACATTCCTATTCTTAGCCATCGAAATATCTCAAAATTACGGCAACATGTAATAGATAGACCAATTGCAATGTCATTATTTTTCTATTCATGTGTAATTCTATGGGTTCGAACCTCAAAATCTTTAAAAAATATAACTTAATTTGTATGCATAATAAGACACTCAAAGTCCATTTACCACTCAACAATCTATTATGCATATTTAAATAATGTGATATATATATATATATGTATGGATATTTCAAATATCTTCTACACATGTTTAGTTCCCTCAAGCTTCGTGTGTGTGTATATATATATGTATGTACGGAATTAGTTCATGTTATAAATATAATTTTTCATGAAAAAATAAAAAGTCACGTCTAGCCAAAATTAACAAATTAGTCATAGCAATTGTCCCAACAGAAAATCGACAAAGATCGCATCTTGTTTCCGACAACACCGGAAAAAAAAACATTTTTTTTAAAATAAAATAAAAGGGGGAAGAAAGAACTTAGGACAGATTTCACAACCTAATGGCTCGCATGTCTTTTAACAACGATTAACCTCTGGTTTCACCATGGATTAGAGCAGCTCCTCCTTTGTCACAGGGTGAAGTCCTTGTCTTGGACCTGAACCCAAATCTCTTGCAGAAGATGTTCCATCCTCCCTTCGTCTTCACAATCTTCTCAAGATCTTGCTTCATGTTCAAGCACTCCTTCTCCAACTCATACACGCGCTCTCTCATCTCGTTTACCCCTACGACGTTAGCTCTCGCTAGCCCGAGATTCCCGCTCGGGTTGACGTCGTTGATGTTGTCCGAGACAAAGATCCATCCTGCTACCGATGTCCTGAGCCGAAGCTGTTCAAAGAAGAGGACCTGCACGATGACTCTCAGCGGTAAACGCTCGTTCTGAGCGGCGTGCGTGCACGCTTCCAGCGACAGTTTCTGGCAGTTCATGAGCCGACACAGCTGCTCCCTCTCGGAATCCGTCATCCATGGATGCGCCTGCTCGGAACAAATGCAACAGTTATTCACAATTCAGTTCGTCATATCTGAAAATGATAATAATTTTACCTTGAGATATATATCGATGGCACGGTATATTCCATCGTCCAGCGGCCTGGCATATTCCGGGATTATAGCACCGAGTTCTTGAAATTTGGAGACCTTCAGGTTAACATCAGAGGCCACCTCTGCTAAGTAGCAATCTATAAGATTGGCAACCATCGTCACCGGCGTAAGAGGATGAGAACCACCGAGCAATTGGCTCTCTTCGACTATGTAATTCGACAGATCGGATGTATCATGGTCGGCCAACATGAAATGGTCAAGAATCCGCTGGACACGGTCTACATCGTAGAGGGTTTCGGCCGAGTACCCCATATTCGGTAACAGAAGATCTTCGAGAGCAGCTTGGTCTAACTGGGCGCCGATTTTTCTCTCTAGATTTTCTTGACAGGCCGGGTTTGTGTGTAGAACCATGGATGTTCGGAGAAGCCTGAGAAGGAACTTGGTTGGTGTGACACTCTTCTCGCTCGGGAGAATCTCCACGATTTCCTCGAGGAGAGTTCTCTGATCCTCGTGTACCGGAGACGAGGCAAGTGTCGAGTAAGTATCCGTAAAGGTTCCATTCTCAGAGCAAGATTGCCGGTTACTACCGAGCAGCGGCAGATTTCGTTTCGTGTAGTGCATTATCGACCCTGTTACTTTCTCCGGTTTCATGCCTCTGGATTCAACCTCCTCGATGAACCTCTTGTAAAACCGGAACTTAAGGAATGACACATCGTCGAACCACCAGTCTTCGTTCACGGAAGGCGGCTTGGCCGTTGTCCGTATTCCGTTCCAAAAGACAGTTCCTTCTGATCCTCCTGACATCGGCCAGCCGAACAGAACCGGGTCAGCACAAGCCTTCATGGCCAAAGAAGCGATGCATCTCGAGACGATACTACATTCTTCGGCAGCAGATAACACTTCTTCGCAAGATTCGAGGGCTTTGATCGAACCGTTCCAGCTTGCAAAGATCTCGTCGAGGAAATTCTCGGTTTGAGACACGAGGTTGCCTTCTCCATAGTCCTCACTCATTCGAAGGTACTCTGCCGCACATCTGAGACTGACAACATTCGAAGCTGTGACCTCAATCCTTACACCATAGCAGAACTTAGCCACAAGCAGGAAGGCTCTGGCTCCACCGGGAATGTCATCAAGCTGAAGAACACGATCGTTATCGTATTCGGCGAGAAGATTTTCCAGAAACCCGCTTCTCGATAGCAGCGGAAACTGATCGGAGACACAACGAAAACGACGACGAAAGTCGCAACACTGTGAATTGTGGGTGAAATTTTAAGTAGAAACTGATGAAAGGGCATGAAGCTTAGCTGAGATCTTATACCTTATGCAGATGGAATGTCGTCTCCTCCACTTGGATCACGACATCCGTTTGAAGCCCTGTTGAACACAACCTGTGAAAACATTTTGTTCCCAGCATTAGGGTTCTCAAATCAACAGAGACTGATTACTGAAAATGGCTGAAACATCGTAATAGTGATATTATCAACTATGCTGCTAAAACCCAGATTGCAAATATAACACAATGCCCAGATAAATAATCGGCGAAAATTTTCATAATCAACGGAAAATTGCTCGGATTCGCGACGATTGTTCATCCTCCAGATCATCACAAGACGTCACGTTCAAGCAGGTGATGAAACAAATCACGTGAAAATATAGAACACCGCACGCTTCCAAATTCGATTAAAAAAATCAGAAGAAATTTAAAAAGAAATGAAAATCGAAGAACAAGGAATGACCAGGTTCGGCCGTCGAGATGAAACACTTCGGATTTCGAGCCCAGCTTCATGCACGCCATTAATCCGTCGAAGAATCACTTCCTCTGCGCCACTTCACTTCCTTTTCTAATGATTATTATCTGTTATCAGTTCATCTCTTCGAGACTGGGAAATGTGGGATCTTTCGCAACAAAATCCAAGGAGCTGACAATTGAGAAATTAGGTTTTTTTTTAATCAATTTAATTGGGTAAATTTTAGTTCTAAAGAGACGGCGATGGTACCGAGTCTCCAGGTACGGAGATAGAAGGAGCTCTTCCCGTTGGCGCTGTTATATTGTGAATTGTGAAGAGAAGGCCAACTTTGGAATTTTATTTATTTCTTATTGTAACGGACGACGAGAACGATATATAATTGGTAATGGTTTATACTTTATATGGATATGTAAATTCCATAAATCAATTGGGATAAATATAATTTTTTCCCGATGTAAAATTAATATGGATAGAATTTTTTAAAATAAAGTAACCTGGAATACAAATCAAATAAAAATGATTTTCTTAACATAAATATTTTTTTAAATACAAATGGATTCCAAACTCAATTGCAATAAAACAAAAACTCACACAAAATCTGAATGAGTAAAATTTTTTCTTATGCTGAAAATTAATCGAACCGAAATTGGAAATGTTTATTACCAATACATTTTCAATATGTAGACATATACCATTTTAAAAAAAGAAATAAAGAAAAATGGCTATGTAATCGGACTCGTTTACTATTTTTTTTTTTTTTTTTTCTTAGAAGATTTTGTAACCATGAGGTAAGTGAATGGATCCGCTCGGTTCGCAAAAGTTTGGTTTAATTAAAAAATATCGTTCCTAAACGGTTCAATTTAAGAATTTTAAACGGTTCAATTTAACAACAGTATCAAAATTTTTTGGTTCGATACGATTCGATTTTGAAAAACTGTACCGAAACACCCTCCCTAATTTCCGATAGTATCACGTAAGCTCAGTTACAAAAAAAAAATAACATTTTTTTTCCGATAAAACCGAAACTTTTTGTCACTGTTCGCTGCAAGTCGTTATGGGTAATGTATGTATAACCAGTCTGAATAAATTTCAATGGCAAAGAACAGAACTACGAAAGGCTGCGTCTATCCTAAGATGCCGGCAGGAAGAGAAGCGAGTTTTTTTTTTTTTTTTTTTTTTTTTGCTTAGAAGATTTTGTAACCATGAGGTAAGTGAATGGATCCGCTCGGTTCGCAAAAGTTTGGTTTAATTAAAAAATATCGTTCCTAAACGGTTCAATTTAAGAATTTTAAACGGTTCAATTTAACAACAGTATCAAAATTTTTTGGTTCGATACGATTCGATTTTGAAAAACTGTACCGAAACACCCTCCCTAATTTCCGATAGTATCACGTAAGCTCAGTTACAAAAAAAAAATAACATTTTTTTTCCGATAAAACCGAAACTTTTTGTCACTGTTCGCTGCAAGTCGTTATGGGTAATGTATGTATAACCAGTCTGAATAAATTTCAATGGCAAAGAACAGAACTACGAAAGGCTGCGTCTATCCTAAGATGCCGGCAGGAAGAGAAGCGAGAAAAGCCAGCGTATAGGGCGAAGTCGATTTCCCGAACAAGGAGCACCACGGGGGAAGTTTCCGCAGGACGTCTTCGACTTTTGGCGTCGCTCGGTTGAAATCCGTCCTGAGTTTCAAGAGCGGCCGCTTCTTCCTCTTCTCGGGTTCGGACTCTTCCCCCTTTCTTCCCTTCAAAACCCTAAGGACAAATCGCCTCGGCGCTTTTCGCCCTCCCGCGAATTGAACCGTATGCCATCCATCGACGCTGGCCTTTTTGCCGCCCCGTGGAACCAGCACTTCGTCCTCAGCTGTATCATTACGGTGAACTTTTCTAGTCAGGCATCAGCTTCAGAGTTGTGTTTTTTGATATATACATGCATACATACCTTCCAGTGTAAAATCTTCGATTTCCTCCATGTTAATGGCGAGAACCCAACGGGATGAGCCTCTGGTGTCGATCGACACTCCTGAGGCGTCGTCGTCTAAGACACGCATCGTTGGAATATTGCCCTCGTCCCACCCGACGCCAGCACCTTCCTCGGTCACGCAGCTGTATGTAGCTTCAAAGCCTACGAAATCGGTGTTTCTCTCCTTGCCACATGTGAACCCTTCTCCGATCTTCTCAGCTTCCATGTTCAAGTTTCCGGGTGTGTACGAGAACAGCGATACGTAGGAGATCGGATCTTGCCCTTTCGTTGTATCCACGACATGCACTACCTGTCATTCCGTAAGACGATGAATTGGAACAGAAAACCCCCGGGATAGAGAGCGAAATCTACTTCTGGTAAAGAAAAGTATCCGTTGAACTTACATTTACCGCTCTTGCAGTATCCTCGGTAAAAGCAGGAATAGTACCGGAAGACACAAGTGCGAGAGAGAGGCCGGTTATAATGCACAACATGGCCACGACCGATCTTTTTGCACCTGGACAAAAAAAATGTTACAAAGGAATCAATCTTGCTTCGTCAAAAAAACGTGATCTCGGTTGCATAATTTTGCTTCTTCAATGGCACGTACCCGAGTGATGGACATAAGACAGTAGATAAACCATTGTCAGAGTAACGAAAGTAGCGATAATAACAGCGACCATGACGCTCCCGAGCCATTCTGGAGTCCCACCTGGGTTCCTACATGAACAAATAACCCGAAACAGGAGAAATTTAATCTCACTTGACGCAGAACAAGAAAGCACTCCGGAGCACCGTCGATTCTTTTCTTTGATACTAACGGTAAACGAATGTTTTTTCGTGTATTTATTTAGCACAGATCAGTTTTATGTTGATTTCAGATAAAGTAAAACCCGTCTCTCGCTGTTCTAAGCATAAATTGTTAAGCCGTTTTAATTGAATAGAATGACATAGATTAGGGAATACATTCGTCCTACCAAAGTTTCCGGTAAGAGAATCTAGTCGATTTACCTGTCAAAACGGATGAGCATCCCGATCATCGTGCCAGCTAAGCGGATAAAACTGGCTGAGGAAACTAAAACCGGAACCGCCAACCCGAAGAGGAGTGTTACAAATTTGAGAGGCCTCGGCAATCGAGCAGGAGTTAAAGTCGCCTCGAGCAATCCATCTGGACATCAAAACTGAATCAAGACTTGCTCCATTTACTCTCTATGTAAACTTCATATACTTCAAAATAAAAAGAGGACAGCATCCAAGGAAAGAATCTGACATGCCCTCAACTGGAAAACGTTTTTACACGTTTTAAATGGAATAGTCAACTAAGATCTACAAGAAGAATATTCTTGAAACTGGAAATATATGAAGTAAGGGTCGACTTACACGCAAATGCAGGCGGTACGAGCCAAACGAGAGCCAAATAAGCCGATCCAATTTTATAGTAGGTCCCCAAAGCCAGAAGAACAAGCCACTGGATGGAACCAGCTTTGAACAACCATCTTTCAGCATCTAGCTTGGCCAAATCAGCCCGTACGACGGGGGAGAGTTGCTTTCTCTTTGAATATACTCTCGACGCGTTTTTCTGAAGCAAGAGGAAAGTCAAATGCTGACCAGTTATAGACCCCAAAATCGAAGGCGAGACAAACAATCCAACCGCAAGCCATGGGTGTGAAGCAAATGGCACGGGTGATGAAGATATCAGCGGTAGGATGAAGGCCACAGAGACTGAGAAGGCTACTGAGAATATCAATGCGAAGATAATACTCAAACACGACAAAAGTAGCGAGATAACCGCTGAATAACCACCCATGAACAAGGACGTAACCAATATAAGAAGCGATTGCATGATTACTGAATTATGTAGCATCGTCCCGAAACTCTGCCGGTATACAACCATATATTTTCCCTGAGATTTGGCATCAAAACGAGGTAAACGCATCGTCGGGTCAGCGTAAAGGTCAGAAGAGACAGAGGAAGACATGCAAAGGATAAAACTAACAACAGATTAATGGGATCTGAATTTACCAAAATGTCGAAATATATAGCAGAGTCGGGATTCGATTTCTCCTCTCCTTGTAATTCCTTGTTATTTGGAAGATTAGAAGATGAAGCGGCCCGAATAAGAAAAGCAAGTACATTTTCTCCCAGATGCTGAAGAGATCCCGGCTTCAAAAGCTCGATTTTATCATTCTGAAAAACAAGAGAAGATTATTGCTCAACTAAAATGGCATCATGAAAAAGGAGAAAACGAGAGAAAAAAATTAAAGTGAAGACCTTGGTGTGATAAACTGCAGTGTTATCGGCATACGCAAAGTCCAATCCCGACAGACCAGAAACCTCCTGGTAAACTTGGAAATCGGTAGAAGATTTTATGACTCCGGAAGCAAAAAGATCCTGCATATAGAAGTTATTTTTATATGTATCAGAACAAGGCGGTCCAAAAAAAAATTAAAACCTGGTTTGAGTGTACATGCCTGTCCAATGATCTGTCCAGATGGGTATTTCGCCACCGAGGCAAAGTTCTCGATAGCCCATGGATCCGGACCAGCCTAAAAGAAGATGTTAACATCTCAAGAAATCAGAAGGATATCTTAATAGAAGTGTGATCCCGTCATAGTTGAGTTCCCAGAGAAAAAGAATCAAGGTCCACGAAAAACATAAACAACAAGAAGCTAGTCTTTACACTATAGCAGAGGATTCATCTCGTTAATAAGTGCAAATTTTCTTAAAAAACTTCACTCTTACCATGGGAACAGGTTTCAAATATTTTGTATTTTTCCTGACGAAAGGCGCTGCAGAAAGTAACTGTACCTGAAAAATGGCCGACTTTCCGCCGACACCCATGGCCTCCAAATCGAGAGCTAAACGTATTGTGGAATTCAACGGATGCTGCATTAGTAAATCGCTACATGAATCAGAAACTTCCAACTCTTGATCGGCGTCAGACCAAATTAAGTCATATGAATGGAAACCATACAATAAATTTGCAAGAACTCGAAGCATTAAAAAGCAAATCTTTCATCTGAAGACAGATCTTACTTGGGTTATAAAGCTATGAGCACCGCTCAGACCTTCTTCCTCTCCAGTATTAAACAAGAATATAACAGAATTCTTGAACCCGTGAGCCCACTGGGAAAGAGATCGAGCAAGTTCCAGCATCACGGCAACGCATGAACTGCAATCTCCAGCCCCTCCGCTGATGCATTCAAATAAACATTTCATCATGCTCAATCCGTATAAACAGTTCCAAAAACAGCAATCTATAACCAAAACTTAGGTTCAGAAAAACGTAGACCAAAATGACACCAAGTGACCAGATTTAAGAAACATACGTTGAAAATACGGTGTCGATGTGAGACGAGACCAGGATCGCGTTTTCCCCTGCGTCGGATTCATATTTCGGCAAGATTCTTATTATGATGTGACCTAAATCTGAGTATGCAAGTGTTTTCCCCTTAAACAGGCCACTGACCATACGATTTGCACCGGTCTTAGCTTGGAATAGCTCAACATCAACATCAACCTCCCAGTGAGCGGTTTTCTTGATTTTCTCGGCCATTTCAAACACATACTGCAAGATTGAACGATGCAAGTGATTAAATACTCTGTCCCAAAAAACTCGCTCAACCGGGCATTTGAGATAAACATTTAGGCAAACTGAAAAGCCGTTAAAACACGAGTTTACTCATCCAGAACCTGGACTGCATCGTCAAGACCATCAGAAGAGACAGGGTGAGGACCCAATTGTGTCAATTCCTCGACATGTTTCATGGCCTCAACCTCGGAGAAACCTCTTTTACCAGCTTGCTCGGAGCTAAGAGGCGGTGGCAAAATCACATGCTGATAATTGTAAACAGTCCAAGTAGAGTATGCCAACAAACACAAAGCCAACCACACAATTCCTGATCTTCTTGGACTTATTGCACCAACGTTGCCACTTTCTTTGGCGACAACAGACGATGGATCCGACACATTGGAAGGCTTAGGATGTCGTTTTCTCATATCTGATACACAAAATCAATAGCCAGTCGCCTGTTTGATTGATGCAATAACAATATCAGTTCGGTTGCTCGGCACAAAATTATTCTCAAACTTCGATAACGTTCCGCTAAAACAACTAGGAAAAGAGAAACCCTAAACAAATTCCGCGACGAATGGACGATTCAAAACCCGGATCAGTGAAAATTACAAGAATTGTAGATCTGGGTTTGACCGAAATCGCTGCAAGCTAGTTGATAAACATGACATGAAGGTGGGCAGATTTGAAGTCCAGGAAAAAGGCGAAATTGGTAGATGGGTGATCGACAGAGCAGTCGTAGGAAAGATCATAAGAGCGCAACGCAATCATGGAATCGAAACGGATAAGAGAGAGTGAGAAGCTTACTGGTGATGCAATGATATTAATGAGCACAGAGACAAAACTGAAAAAGAAGAAGAAAATGGGTCCCCGCGGACGGAACGTGGATTTTGGGTCTGGACGGATCAATCAAAATCCGTTGAAGCTCGTACAACACGAGGATGCTGCTAACCTTACGAGCATATCTCGTCAAAAAACACACTAATTATCAATAAAAAAAAATTATTTATTAGAATTTTTTTATATAATTTGCATTACTTTTAAAAATACGATACAAAATAATAAAGAAAAAATTTGATAATTTTATTTATTCTAGTTTTTTGTTATAATCAGGTATTTAGGGTTCGGATATATATCACCAGGATTTGGTCAAAACACAAGTCTTAAAACCCCACACTATTTATTACAATTGAAAATCATTATTTACATCTTCAAGAAAATTTCAATTTTGTACCGTAGGGTTTGTTTCAACTCTGTTTCGCTTTTCTTTTCTTTTTTTTCTTTTTGGTCATTGGCGAGCATATCCTTGAAGTCGGGAAGGCATATTTCCCCACTGATCATGGAGAGACGAGTTCATGGCTAGATATATCGGGTTTACTCCTTTTTGTGCCTTTTGCGTTTGATCATGTCGGGTTTCCCCGTTGGATTGTGTATCTGACTGCACTGATCCGTGAAGCTTGTGTCGATTTTGGGCGAGTATCGGGCAGGATTTTCACCCGATTTGGGTAATTGGGTCACACCCGAGAGATCGGATTTACCAAAAAGCTTCGTCTTTCTCCTAATCCTCTCTTCTTCGAATCCGCCTGTCTTCTTCTCCCGAGATCGATCGGAGGTTTCTCCTCGGGGAGCTCTCTTCTCCCTCTCTCTCTGAATCGCCGGAAAAAAAAAACAACACCCAACAAAAAACCACACTAAGAACATCTAGCGAAAGAGTGAGAGAGAGCTCCTCTCTGGTTAAGTAATTAGGTTATTAGGACATTCGTTAGGCGAGGAGAAGAAGAAGACCCAGAACGAGATACAGGCAGAGAAACCATGTCTGCTCTCCATCGGTCATCAAGCGCTCCGTCGAAGAACAACGGTGGCTCTCTCCCCTCCAAGGAACTTCTTGACGATCTCTGCAGGTATGACCTTTTTTCGTCTTCCGGGTTTCTTCGTTTCCTGTGTTTGGTTGCCCAGTTACATCTTCGGTGATGTTGACCTATTGGGATTTGGTGAGTTTCTTTGCAGTCGATTCGTTTTGAATGTCCCAGAAGAAGATCAGCAATCGTTCGAGCGAATTCTGTTTCTTGTGGAGTATGCGTATTGGTACTATGAAGATAATTCTGTAGAAAAAGATCCAACTCTGAAATCACTGACTTTGAAGGAGTTCACTTCGCTCTGTATCCTTTTTCCGACCAATTTCTTAGCATTTTGATGTCTGTCCTCATGGATAGCTCTTGATCTGCACAAGGGGATGTGCATTCTCTGATCCTAGAAACTATGTTATGAAACAGATTTTGCTCTTAGCTGCTTGTCTTCAAGTGTGGGGACTGTGTTCATATGGGCTTGAAACCCATATTCGTCTTCGTGATGAAAAGTACCATCTCTGAGATTAGCTTGTGGCTTGCACGAATGATTTTTTGGAGCACGAAATGGAAATTAAAGACGAAGTGGGTCTACGAGATGGTTACGGCCAATGAAGTTTTACCAGAGACGTTCTTTTTCTGCCTGTTGTTTAACCATGATGCTTGTATTTTGAGCTCATACTGTCGAGTAGAACGTTTTCCTTGACGTTTGCTAGTGTTTAACAGCTGTGATGTGTTGAGGCCTTATGTTGCTCATATCGATGACATATTCAAAGACTTCACTTCTTACAAGTATCGTGTTCCTGTGACCGGAGCAATCATCCTGGATGAGACATACGAACGGGTTCGACCCCTTAGCGATATCTCTTAGATTATCATGTATCTTTTTTTCGTCCCGTTCTCTGATTTTTTTTTTTCAAATTTCAGTGCGTGCTAGTGAAAGGATGGAAAGGATCAAGCTGGAGTTTTCCTCGTGGGAAGAAGAGCAAGGATGAGGAAGACCATGCATGTACTATACGCGAAGTGAGCGCCTATTTTACAAACAATAGTTTTTTTCCTTCCTGCTTGGGTTGATGAAGATATAATTAAACAAGGAATTTCAGTTTTGCAAGCTCTTAAAAATAAAATTTCCCGTCTTTTATGATGCTCCGGATAAAAGGGTACACTAAATGCTGTTGGATAGATAGAAATTTAACAATCTTTGTGAAAACTATTCCATTCTGTGCAGAAAACATTTGCGCCGATAGATATCGGTTATCTCTGGTAGAGGTTTGTTTTTGGTCTGGAGTTTTGGTTTAATGGCACTGTCACGCTAAAGCAAGTCTGAACTTTCTCTGGTTCAATCTGAATTATAGAAAGAAACAGGCTGAGCCTCTGTTGGCGGTGAATCGGAAATCGAATTCTTTATGTATGCATGATTGATTAAAATATCAATTCAACCTTCCCATCTACTCTTGAAACTTTGTTTGAGTTGTGATGTATACTTGTGCTCACCTTGTTCTGTGCTTGTCTTCTTTATTACGCAACAGGTCTTAGAGGAAACCGGATTTGATGTCTCGGAGTTACTCAAGAAGGAGGAATACATCGAGTTTATATTTGGGCAGCAAAGGGTACGGCTCTACATCGTTGCTGGAGTGAAAGATGATACAGCTTTTGCACCGCTCACAAAGAAGGAGATTAGCGTATGTTCTTCGAAGAACTCTTATAGTCTGATCTAGTCTGAAATGAATTTATCGAATCTCTAATGGTTATGGCTAACTTTTTTTTGTGTGTTTTTGCAGGAAATTGCATGGCATCGGCTTGATGATCTTCAGCCAGCGAGCAACGAGGTGATAACTCGTGGAGTTACAGGTCTTAAGCTGTACATGGTGGCACCTTTTCTCGCGTGAGTAGTTTGTTGTATTGCCCTTTGTTTGAAAACCCATTGAACCTCCGGTAGTTTTAGACTTTTACTGAGCTGAACAAATTAACGGAAATCTGCAGATCGTTGAAATCGTGGATATCAAAGCACCCGCCTCCTGTAACTCGGAGACTTGACGTCCCACTTAAAGGTTTTTCCTCAGTACCCTTTGTCAGTCTCCGAATTTCCTCCCGTTATCTTCGGGAAAAAAACATAAAAATTAGTTATTTTGACGGGCTTTATTTATGCATATTCTTTCCAGCACTCTGCGTGTGGAAAGCTAAGCACAATTCTGTAGGGAACAGCTCAGCAACAATGGAGAGCCAGCAGGCTAGCAACAAGCCTGCACCCGAGAACCCTCCTCCCGACACAGGCCCCGGAAAAAGCCTTAGAAACTTCAAATTCAACGCTTCCGCAATCCTGCAAGCGATGGAAGCTGGTTTCTCGTCGTCTTGACATGCCTCGAGCCCGAGGTCATGAGGTTTGGTTTTGGGAATATGGTCTGAGAGCAGAAATGTGGGAATTTGGTCTGTGTACATGTGTGGTTCTTCTTGTATAGCAAGCCGTTTATGAGTGTACTGACTGTGTCTATGGGCATTGTGGTTGTGGAAGTGGGTGGCGACTGGCGAGAGATTTGGTCATATTAACGAGCTGGATTCATTGGTCGTATGATTCATGATTGATTTGTCGTACATACAAGTGCACTGGGGATAGAATCTGCTGCATGACAGTGTTTTCAAGATCATGATAACGTTGGATATTTTGTTTTTTTTTTTTTTGGGTTTTGATTGATTATACCATTTAGTTTTGTTAATAGATTGGACTCGGTTTGTGTTTTTTTGTTAGGGTTTCAGTTTTTGTTAAGAAAGAATTTTTTTTTAAAAAATGGTTCGGATTTATTTAATTGGATTTTTCAGTTTTTTCAAGTAAACTATATCATTTGTCTTTTATATAATAAAGTTTTTGGACATTATTTTATGTTGTTGGTGTTTGGGTTTGTTTGGGCTTTGTTTGAATGAGTCAAATATAGCCCATGAAATTGTTCCATCCTTGATACAAAAATTCAACGGCCCATGAAAATCTCAGTAATTTTTTTTAAATGTTTGTGCATACTTGTTAATTTAGCCTTTTATCATTAAATTTGAATATTTTTAGTGTAGATTTTTAACGGGAATTTAATTTTCTCAAGCATTACAAATTCAAAATATCCCCCCCTTAAAACTAAACCCTATTACATAAATTTAAGCCTTAACAGAAATAAAAGTGATTTTTTGACTGTGTTAATGGTTGTAATTTCGTTGCGTTACGCTCTGCAATTTCTTCTATGTTTTAACAAAAAAACAAATAGTACAAAAATGCATTTACTTACGGATTTAAAGAAATGTATGATTGATCTTAAACCTATATAATATAAAAAAAAAAATCATTTTTTTTTTCAGATAAAATAAGAAATCATCGATTTGGCGGCACGCTTCTTAGAGCACAAAATGCAAGTTGTTGTACCATAAAACGACGTCGCATCAGTGTTCGATTCCACGAGATATTTTCAGAAGGGAAAAGGGGAGAAAGATATTTTCAGCATTCTCTCACTGAGACATCGTTTTACCAGAATCGAGCAAAGCAAAGATGCATCTATGGCCGTCGTTGAAATTGCGAGATTCCTTCAAGACCACTCGGTTGAAGAAGAAGTTCAGCAG